CTTCAATACCAGGCACTTTCACCCATTACCTGCCGAGGCCAATTTTCATCTTTCAGCGCTGTCGCACTTTGAATGATAATTGCATCGTCATGCAGCACTGTACCCAAATTAATTTTTTATCATCTTATTCACACAAATTGAGCTTTCTTTTGGTGGTATTTAATCACCACTGGGCTTTTTATTTTTTGTTTAATAAATGAATAAAGACCAAATTTAAAAAAAAAACAAAAAGAAAAACAAAACACCTTCTTTGTTTCTGTTATAACATTTTGCACATAAATTACCCAAATCAATGTTTATTATTTAGTCTGTAGGAAAGTCATAGAGTCCACAAACTATGGTATATACAGTATATGAATATTGATAAATCCTTATGTACTGATGGCCTATCTCAGCCTTTTTCAACGAGGGTGCCCAGGCACCAAGGGGTGTCTTCAGGCCTCTTCAGGGGTGCCTTGGCAAAATGCCTAAAAATTGCCCAAAATTTGTATACAAGCTAGCAGGTGGATCAAGCCTGCCTTTTGGTACACAAAGCCACAGGTTTTCATTGTGCACTTTTGTCACCTTCTAGCTGCTTCAGCTGATCAGTATGTCACATGCCTACAGAGCATCCTTGTTATCTCCTCCCCTGTCCCTGTCAGCAAAAGGGACACATTAGGGAGAGAAATTGAAAGAGAAACACTGGAATACTAGTCAGTACCAGTGTACAAAGGTTTATTTTGCTTTGGAAGAATAAATCACCTCTAACGTTGGGTGTCCTACGTGTGTGGATGTTGCTACATTATGTAAAACTATTAGAATAGTTTTCTACATTTTAGAACGTGATGCCTTGAGATTATGCAGAAGTTTAAAGGGTGACTTGAAATGGTTCATAATTTTAAAGGGTGCCTTGACTGAAAAAAAAATTGAGAAAAACTCATTTTTTGAGGTCTGAAAATGTCAGGACAATACAAATATTCCACAAATTACCTCTTTTTGGAAAGTAGACCGTCCAAAGTAAGAGGCATGGCAAGTGTTCTGAAGTTGTAATTTTTTGTCACAATTTTTTTTTTTACATACTGTCACTAGTGCAGTACAGCGTCATCATATAACTGGTGTGGTGGTGATCAGGGACACAGACTGGTGACAGTAGGAAAAAACCCCCCAAAAACATTTAATTTTTTTTTTTAATTTTCCTTTCATTTCATTTCCTTTTTTTTTTTTTTTTACAAACTGTGATCAGAGCAATTTTCCCATTTTTTTTTTCACATTATGATTGCTTATAACAGTGAATTTAATTACTCTAAGCAAGCATTTTACTGAATAAAATCAATTCATTAAGTATTGTGATTATCCGCAGCTACTCACATGGTACAGATGGGCTGTGATTGGCCCTGTCTGCACCATGTGGTCACTGTGTCCAATCACAGCTAGCACCACAATTGTACACAATGAATGACATGAAAGGAAGCCATTCATTGTTTACAATTGTCATGTGATCTGCTGTGATTGATCACAGAAATCACATGGTACTGGCAGTGGGCTGTACAGTTATCCGTCATCGGCTCTGTCCGGTGGACACAATGGGTAACAGATCGGCCAGGCAAAAGGCACGTTCTGGGAGGGCATCATATGATATTCACCCAGAACGAGAAAAGTCCCACCCGGCAGTAATACTACAATAGGCCAAGCAGGAAGTGGTTAAACAAGTTTCAATAGTGATCAATCTCACAGAATAGCACAATGTTCCAATCATGTGAAATTGATTGTACAAGATGTTGCAGCATACTACTTATGTAGCCTACCCCATTACAAGACCCGTGTTCCATGTGTTTACAACTAAACATGTGCACGCTGGAAATTTTTGTTTCGTTTGCATTCGTTCAATGAAGAATTCTGTTTTGTAATATTCATGATGTTGAACGGATTCGTTTTCAGCGTTCGTTTCCTATATTTGTTAGTCCAGGTGGATTAAAAAAAGTTTCAGTTTTTTGAAAGATTGCTATACATTCATTTCTGATATTTCAGGTGGATTCGTTATTCATATGTCGAAACTATTCAATATTTTCAGACCCAACACAATAAATCATTTTTCAAACCTAAGAATTGCATTAGATTGTGGAACTGAACTGACTGTGACAATTACAAATTCAATTTAAACCACAACTTTACTCTAATCTGCATTATTGAACTAATTAGAAAATTTTATTAATTTCCCCATGGGCCTGAACTACTATGGCATCATGTGACATCTGAATGAAATAAATGCATTCAGTATTTTCGCTCTAACTTTTTTCGGATTTGTTGACTTTCTTTTCTATACATCCGAATCTCAGAAAATCGCATTTTCATCCAAAAATTGATTCATAATGAAACACACGTGTTTACAACTAACTGGGTCCCCTAAGGATTAATAGTGATTGTAGTGGTACGAATGAACTGATCAAAATCTTCTGTATAGTTCTAACCTAATAAGATATCAATTAATGGTTACATATATTTGTAGAAAAATATTAAAATTTCCTGTGTACCTTTGCTCTTAGGTGTAAGACTAGGCCATCTCCATTATGTAAGCAGGGGTATCAGCCAACTCACAGAGGAATCAATTTCTTAAAGGAGTAGAGCATGTTCATTTTTCAAGGGAATTTTCACTTAGCTGAGAGCTTACTTAGCTTAAAAAAAAAAAAGCACTCGTGTGATAGAGTGCACAAATTCTCTGCTGACCTTTACCCTAACTCATTGGTTCTCAACTTTTTTTTTAACTTGTGTACCCCTTGGCACTCTATTTCCATAAATTGACTCCAGACTCAATGTCAGGGCTCCCAGGTATGACAGAGGTGTGTGACTGAAGCAGGGAAACGCAGACCTCAGATATGTTATAAACAATATAATTTATTAACACTAACAGTACAAACATAAACGCAGTGCAATACTAAAACATAATACGGTGCAAATAAACCCAAACCAAACCACCCACAGATAACAGTATATACAAGCAAGCGTCGTCAGGCAGGCCGGGTCAATATCAATTGGGCAGGTAGGTACAGGGGGAGCAAGCGGAGAGTGGTCGGGGTCACAGGCCAGGTTCAGCAGGTAGCAAGCAGCATAGTACAGAGGGTCAGGCAGAGGGATGGTCCGGGTCACAAGCCAGGGATCAGAACAGGTAGCAAGCAGCGTAGTACAGAGGGTCAGACAGAGGGATGGTCAGGGTCACAAGCCAGGATCAGAGCAGGAGAAGTCAGCAAAGGAACAGAAACAGGTTGCAGGACAGATACAGGGCCCAGGACAAACACAACACCAAGGCAGAGTCTGTGGGTCTGGGCCATCCCTTAAATACCCCAGCATCATCAGTTCCAGGTGTTAGCTGGCTGAAAGGTTGAGTCTCTGATTGCTGGGAGCACCCGCTGGCCAGCCCTGGTACTGCAGATCAAAAGGCAGGTGAGTCCCACCATTGCTGGCCAGTCCATTCCTAACAGTACCCCCCCCCTCAAGGAGCGGCCTCAGGACGCTCCAAACAGTCCTAGCTGGGCAAAATGTTCCACCGCCCGGGTCTGGCAAACTGGCGGGATATCAAAAGACTGGCACACCGGGCAGGACTCCGGGCAGCGGCACCACCGGGCTGGACTCCGGGCAGAGGCACATCGAGCAGAGGCACTCGGGCAGAGGCACATCGGGCAGGACTCCGGGCAGAGGCACATCGGGCAGGACTCCGGGCAGAGGCACATCGGGCAGGACTCCGGGCAGAGGCACATCGGGCAGGATTCCGGGAGAGGCACATCGGGCAGGACTCCGGGCAGAGGCACATCGGACTACCAGGCGAAGCAGCAGGCAGCGGGCCACCAGGCGGAGCAGCAGGCACCGGGTCCCCGGGCGGGGGCGACAGGCACCGGGCCCCCGGGCGGGGCGACAGGCACCGGGCCCCCCGGGCGGAGCAGCAGGCACCGGGCCCCCCGGGCGGAGCAGCAGGCACCGGGCCCCCGGGCGGGGCGACAGGCACCGGGCCCCCGGGCGGGGCGACAGGCACCGGCGACCCGGCCCGGCTAGCACCGGGCCCCCCGGGCGGAGCGGCAGGCACCGGGCCCCCGGGCGGAGCAGGCGGCAGGCACCGGGCCCCCGGGCGGGAGCAGCAGGCACCGGGCCCCCGGGCGGAGCAGGCAGCAGGCACGGGGCCCCCGGGCGGAGCAGCAGGCACCGGGCCCCCGGGCGGGGCGACAGGCACCGGGCCCCCCGGGCGGGGCGACGGGGGCCCACAGGCACCGGGCCCCCGGGCGGAGCGGCAGGCACCGGGCCCCCGGGCGGAGCGGCAGGCACCGGGCCCCCGGGCGGCAGCAGCAGGCACCGGGCCCCCGGGCGGAGCAGCAGGCACCGGGCCCCGGGCGGAGCAGCAGGCACCGGGCCCCCGGGCGGAGCAGCAGGCACCGGGCCCCCGGGCGGGGCTACAGGCACAGGCACCGGGGCCCCGGGGCGGGGCGACAGGCACCGGGCCCCCGGGCGCGGGCAGCAGCAGGCACCGGGCCCCCGGGCGGAGCAGCAGGCACCGGGCCCCCGGGCGGGAGCAGCAGGCACCGGGCCCCCGGGCGGAGCAGCAGGCACCGGGCCCCCGGGCGGAGCAGCAGGCACCGGGCCCCCGGGCGGCGGAGCAGCAGGCACCGGGCCCCCCGGGCGGGGCGACAGGCACCGGGCGGGGCGACAGGCATCGGGCCCCCAGGCAGGGCGACAGGCATCGGGCCCCCAGGAGGGGGCGACAGGCATCGTGCCCCCAGGCGGGGCGACACAGGCAACGGGCCCCCAGGCGGGGCGACAGGCATCGGGCCCCCAGGCGGGGCGACAGGCATCGGGCCCCCAGGAGGGGCGACAGGCATCGGGCCCCCAGGCGGGGCGACAGGCATCGTGCCCCCAGGCGGGGCGACAGGCCTCGTGCCCCCAGGCGGAGCTGCGGGGCGCCGGGACCCCCAGGCGGAGCGACAGGTCTCGGGCCCTCAGGCGGAGCGGCGGGCGCCGGACCTCCAGATGGAGCGACAGGTCTCGGGCCCTCAGGCGGAGCGGCGGGCGCCGGACCCCCAGGCGGAGCGACAGGTCTCGGGCCCTCAGGCGGAGCGGCGGGCGCCGGACCCCCAGGCGGAGCGACAGGTCTCGGGCCCTCAGGCGGAGCGGCGGGCGCCGGACCCCCAGGAGGAGCGACAGGTCTCGGGCCCTCAGGCGGAGCGGCGGGCGCCGGACCCCCAGGTGGAGCGACAGGTCTCGGGCCCTCAGGCGGAGCGGCGGGCGCCGGACCCCCAGGCGGAGCGACAGGTCTCGGGCCCTCAGGCGGAGCGGCGGGCGCCGGACCCCCCAGATGGAGCGACACAGGTCTCGGGCCCTCAGGCGGAGGAGCGGCGGGCGCCGGACCCCCAGGTGGAGCGACAGGTCTCGGGCCCTCAGGCGAGATGCGGCGGGCGCCGGACCCCCAGGAGGAGCGACAGGTCTCGGGCCCTCAAGCGGAGTGGCAGGTGCCGGACCCCCAGGCTGAGCGACAGGTCTCGGGCCCTCAGGCGGAGCGACAGGTCTCGGGCCCCCAGGCGGGGCGGCGGGCGCCGGATCCCCAGGCGGAGCGGCGGGCGCTGGGACCCTCAAGCGGAGCAACAGGTCTCGGGCCCCCAGGCGGAGCGGCGGGCACCGAGACACCAGGCACGACAGTGGGCTCCGAGTCAACTGGTATGACCGCAGGCACTGGGTCAGACATTGGATGGTCTGGCTGGACAGCGGGCATCGGGTCACCAGGCATCAGGTCATTTGGCTCGACAGCGGGCACCGCGTCATCTGGCAAGGCAGTGGGCTCCGAGTCAACTGGTATGACCGCGGGCACTGGGTCAGACATTGGATCGTCTGACCGGACAGCGGGCATCGGGTCACCAGGCATCAAGTCATTTGGCTCGACAGCGAGCACCGCGTCATCTGGCAAGGCAGTGGGCTCCGAGTCAACTGGCATGACCGCGGGCACCGGGGCAGACATTGAATCGTCTGGCTGGACAGCGGGCATCGGGTCACATCCAGGCATCAGGTCATTTGGCTCGACAGCGGGCACCGCGTCATCTGGCAAGGCAGTGGTCTCCGAGTCAACTGGCATGACCGCGGGCACCGGGGCAGACATTGAATCGTCTGGCTGGACAGCGGGCATCGGGCCACCAGGCATCAGGTCATTTGGCTCGACCGCGGGCACCGCGTCATCTGGCAAGGCAGTGGGCTCCGAGTCAACTGGTACGACAGCGGGCTCTGAGTCAATTGGCACGACAGCGGGCACCGGATCAGGTACCGGATCATCTGGATCAACAGCGGGCATCGAGTCAACTGGCCTAATAGGATCGTCAGGCTGGATCAGTTCATCATGCTGGGTAGAGGCATAGGCCGAGTAGAGGCTTCAGGCCGAGTAGAGGCATCAGGCCGAGTAGAGGCATCAGGCCGAGTAGAGGCATCAGGCCGAGTAGAGGCTTCAGGCCGAGTACAGGCATCAGGCCGAGAGTACAGGCATCAGGCCGAGTAGAGGCTTCAGGCCGCGTAGAGGCTTCAGGCCGAGTAGAGGCATCAGGCCGAGTAGAGGCTTCAGGCCGAGTAGAGGCTTCAGGCCGAGTAGAGGCTTCAGGTTGCGTACAGGCATCAGTCTGAACCACGGAAGGCAGGCTCACCGGTTTGGATACTGGCAGGATGGTATTGGTTGGAAAGAATTTTCGCTTTTTTCTGGTTTTAACTACTGGAGCACTGCAAGTAAACGCAGGTCTGCAAACGAATGGAGCAGCTGGAGACAGAGAAGAACTGGAGGATGGAACAGGAGAGGGAGCAGTTGCTACAGAGGGCTTTTTTACAGGGTTAAAGGCAGGATAGGTGCAGCGAGTGGGAACAGGGTACTGACATGCGGTAGATAGCCAAGTATACTGGGCTGTAACTGGAGGAGCTGGTGGGAATACAGGAGTAGAGTTAGAAGCAGGACTGGGTCTTTGTAAGCTGACTGAGGCTGGGTGCAACAAATCTGTCCATGTCTGCAGTAGGGGTTGAACAAAGCTGAGCTTACACAAAGTCTGTCTGGTCAATGACTGCACTGCGTTTATACAATCTCTCAGTGTCTGTGGTGAACATGTGGAATAACGCTCCAGAAAGTAACCCACATCATCCTCTAATAACCACACCAGGGACTCTACCTGGTCTGCACTAAATGGTGGCAAAAATTCATCCCTGCATTCGGGGGAACCAGATGAAACCAACTCTGCACAAACCTCAATCAAAGGCTGCACCTCAGAGAACTCTGTGCCCTGATCTACTAGAACATGAGCGAGCCGTATACATTCTAGCAATTCATCCCGGGTATACTCCTTCAGAGTTTGATAAGCATACTCCCTGTCATCAAACACTAGCAGATATAAATACTCAACCTCCTCAAGATCCATCCTTCCCATCAACAAGCCAAGATGGCTTCCCTGTGCAGCCACTTCTGGTCAGGATGGGCCTTGGTGTAATGTCAGGGCTCCCAGGTATGACCAGAGGTGTGTGACTGAAGCAGGGAAACGCAGACCTCAGATATGTTATAAACAATATAATTTATTAACACTAACAGTACAAACATAAACGCAGTGCAATACTAAAACATAATACGGTGCAAACAAACCAAACCAAACCACCCACAGATAACAGTATATACAAGCAAGCGTCGTCAGGCAGGCCGGGTCAATATCAATTGGGCAGGTAGGTACAGGGGGAGCAAGCGGAGAGTGGTCGGGGTCACAGGCCAGGTTCAGCAGGTAGCAAGCAGCATAGTACAGAGGGTCAGGCAGAGGGATGGTCCAGGTCACAAGCCAGGATCAGAACAGGTAGCAAGCAGAGTAGTACAGAGGGTCAGACAGAGGGATGGTCAGGGTCACAAGCCAGGATCAGAGCAGGAGAAGTCAGCAAAGGAACAGAAACAGGTTGCAGGACAGATACAGGGCCCAGGACAAACACAACACCAAGGCAGAGTCTGTGGGTCTGGCCATCCCTTAAATACCCCAGCATCATCAGTTCCAGGTGTTAGCTGGCTGAAAGGTTGAGTCTCTGATTGCTGGGAGCACCCGCTGGCCAGCCCTGGTACTGCAGATCAAAAGGCAGGTGAGTCCCACCATTGCTGGCCAGTCCATTCCTAACACTCCCCCAATCAGCTCTTTTTCTGCCTCCTCTCTAGGCCTAGAGTGCATCGGGCCATTGGTAGATGCTTTTTGGAGGGTCACCTGGCTTTTGGCTCTGGTGGGCACTGGACAAAATGATGTGGTAGAGCAGTGGTCACACACTGGTGTATCAATAGAGGCAGTAAGCATGCTGTGCCATTGTTGTGTAGAGTGCCACAGTGCACTAAATGACAAGGGCTTTTGGGTATGCAGCTGCTGCACAGAATCAAGGGGAGAGGCAGGTCTACCTGCTGAGTGTGTGGCAGAATGTAATTGCTGTAGGTGGGCATAACTTAAGCAGGAGGAGGGTGATAGCGGATCACTTTGCTCATGTTGCTCTCGAGTCTTGCCCTGTCACTGCCTAGAGCCACTTAGCGCCCCATCGACACTTTAGAAATCACAGAGAAATTTAAACTATTCCAGCTGCAAATAGTTTAATTGTTATAATCTAATTGAATGGCAGTACCTGGTGTAGGCCACACACCTCTACGTATTCCACTAAGCATCTACTGCCTTTTCCCATTATTATTCGTTTACCCCTAAATGTCCTGGTGCATACCCCAGGTTGAAAACCATTGTCCTAAATTGCCAGAGCAGGTCTTAGTCTTGTTAATCTTTGAATTTATCTGAATGTACCTTTAGAGCTAGAGTAGTAATCATCCAAAATAATGATTGAATGTATAGTCAAGAAAAACCTGAGGAAAAGAAGTTAGATTTTCCATTGACAGTCGATTAAGGCTTGTTCTGTGCGTTACGAATATATTGACTAATTAAAGAAAGTGGCAGCCCTAAATCTGACTTTTAATTCAACTAAATTTAATTAAAATGCAGATTGATTGGATTGCAGCATGTATAGAGAGTATAAATGACCATTTACATCTGCAGCACTGTGGCTCTTTGACACTCCCGTGTGTTTTCAGATAAAGTGTTCCACGCTGGTCACTGTTGGTCTTCCTACCAACCTCTGCACCACTCCTGAGGTTAGTGGGAAGAACCCCAGCCCCAACAGGGAACATGCAATCAGACACACTTGAAAGTTTGTAATGTATTCTTCATCAGGTGGATTTGTTCTATCTTTCTGACAGGTAAGCATAGTTAGTAAGAAAGTTTTGGGGGAATTTCCTCAAGCATTTTGGAAAAAGGAAACATTCCCCAGATGATTGTATCAGCTATACTAAATGAACTGTTTTCTTTGGGCCAGTGGGGAACCAGTCTACCATAAGACTGGTCAACTTGTTCTTGCCAGCATGCCCAGCTTAAAATGTATCTATTGCCAAAACGTTTTGGTTTTTTTTTAGGTTTGGATTGAGTAGGGAAGGATTAGAACCCCTGCTAGGGTTTACTGCCTTTGAAGGCTCCTTTGAGAGATTCTTTCACTTCTGAGTTGGTAAAAAAAAAAAAAAAAAATTGTCCTCTAGACAGGAAGTGAGGGGAAATCTCACTAACAGGAACACAGACAAAAGTGTATTTTTTTCCCCTTCTTGTTTAAAAGGAGAAGTACAGCCAAAGCTATTTTGGCTGTACTTCTCCTATGGATCACAGGAGTGCAGTTTGTTCTGCACAACTATGACCTGTTCTCAGCTGATAGTGGGCTGAAGTCTGCTGTCGACTGATGTCACTCAGCCAATCCAAGCTGGGGAAAGATCCCGACATTAAAATCGGGATCCACCCCAGAATCTGGAGCGGCACCTGGCACAGCCGGTGAGAGCCTAAGCCAGCTGCTCCCTCCTTCTCCACAGCCCAGCACTCCATGGAGCACTGGGGAGACAGAGCAGACACCACTTTCTGCTCAGAGCGGCTGTGAGAACTCAGCAATCAGCGGTCATGTGATCATTGAGTTCTTACACTTAGAGCTGGCTGGGGACAGATGCAGCATCCATCTAGGTAAGTATAAATGGGGGGAAAAAAGCCCTACTACTGAAGTTAGGAAAGATAATGTTTGAACCTTCTGTTACCTTTTTATTGTGGTCTGTTTCACTAGTTCAGATTTTTCCTGACTTCCTACCTTGTAGAAGGTTGCCCCCGAAATGGAAAGTGAGGGAAAAAACTGGATAGCAGTAAAACAGGATATTCTATCCCCCCCAAAAAAAGTTCTTGGCATAGATAAACCTGTGTGCCATAATTTTAATTATCAACACCCACAAACTAACATTCCCCTTTGTCTGCAATTCACTATTTAGGAAAAAAAATACAATGAAATATGTTTAAAATTGATCACTAAAATCTCTGAGCTTTAACATGCTTATGTAATTTTAAAAGTATTTTTTTTTCTTGTTAAATGATTTTTATTGAGTTCTCATAAAAGACAGTCTACAACATTTTGCAGGCAAAAGAACAATTGTCACAATCTCAATGGAAGTACAAGTCGTACTGGAGAATGCAAAAATGTACAATCAAAAGGTAACAATGAAACAAATGAAGTGTAGGTCTTCAACTTCCATTTTTTTTAATCTACAGCATTGATTTAGATAATACCTGGCGATCTTGCCATGAAGGTCCTTGTCAAAACTCTCCACATTTATAGGGTGAAAGCGCTCTGTCCATTTCTCCCAGTTGTGCTCCTGAATTGGCTTCCAATGAAAACCACAACAAACATTGCACAGGCAAAAAATTGAGCTTAGTAGCATAGACCTGCAAACAAGGTGAAAGCAAGTATTTTATCCAAATAAAAACTGGCAATTGTTTATGATACACAGTGTTTTTAGAAAGCTGAAGTGTCGCTCAGTTTACATCTACTTGAAGAGAAGCATCTGATTGGTGATCACCAGCATTCTGTTTTGTGTTCCATTTTC